ATATATATATATATATATATATATATATATATATATATATATATATATATATATATGTGTGTGTGTGTGTGTTTTATCCTTCAATTGAATCTGGCTTTTTTTTAAGTGTTTACATGTATAACTGTCTCTTTCCACAGGACAGTCTGCAAGGATACAAAGCACAAAACAAGTTTCTTAACAAAGAAATCTTGGAGCTTTCAGCTCTGCGAAGAAACTCTGAAAAAAGAGAAGATGAACTGGAAGCAAAGGTGAGGCTTTTAGAGGTTAAATAAATGAATCTGCAATACACAAGCAAATCAGATCTAACACAACTCTGTCTTGTATGGGTGACCCCCATCTGTAAAGGTTTGTCCATATGCAAGGCATCGAGGTGGACAGTGGTTATATGTGCTGAATATCCAGGTCACTCCAGGTATGTTTTAAAGTGGTGATACTCATTCTATTCATTCATTCAACAACTGTCGTGAATAGACGCAGATTGTGTTAAACAGTCCATGTAAAAGAAATGGACTGAAAACACACAGCAACACACTCGACAGTGGGGCTGGCTGCATTTTATCGCAGTGCAACACATATAGCACCATGCATTGTGGCAAGCTGCCCTGTGTTGCCTTTTGGAAGTTGGTTGGGGTGCCATTTCACAATGAATGGCACCACAGCGCACCAGTGTTTGCAATATTGCAGTAACACGTGCTTAAGCTTCCTATTGACATTAGATTATTATCGGCTGGATCAGAAAACACTCTTATCTGTATATTGAAGTGTATTTACACTTTTGTAGTCCAATTTGATAAAACCCCTCTATATGTTCCTTATGTGTTCCTGTTCACACAGCATACCATACAATAACTTTTAAAATAAAATTCTTACCTTTTTAGATGTTCTGTTAAATCAGGCAAGATGGCTGATTCCAGGTTTTTTTCTTAGCCCTCTCACAGTGGTCTGCCCTATTGGAAAGACTTGGGACTGAAGTTTGAGGTTTGTGTTTATCCGATAAGCTTCATTAAAATACAATGGACAAACCACTTCCGACCCGGCCCATCACAGTCCTTCCTAACAATCCAAAGAAATAGAAGCAAGGAGAAATTTTAACCCTTAAAACCCTAACCCAAGTAAAAGCAATTTAAGCAAGAAGCATTTTTTTTATTTTGTTTTTAGCTTATGCTCTGTGAATGTAACAAATATAAAAGAGATGTTATCCCAATTTGGCTGCGGAAGTGGAAATACCCTTTAAGGATATAGGACACTCGCTGGCTGATTAGCTCAGGAGAAAAATATGTTTCAGGATGGATTTTCCTGGCCTGTCACTATTATATCAACAAAGAGAAAAGAGGAAGACGCACCCCACAGTACAGGCTGCTGTTAGAATATTACTAATCCATCCAATGCAAAGGCAAACCACCTGAACCTCTGCCTTGCAAAGGTTCTTTCGGTTTGCCTTTACATCGAATGGATCAATAAACTTCTAGTAGCGGCTTTTACTTTGCAAAGTGGCTTCCTCTTTTCCTTCTGTTGTTCAAGTTTGTAACAGAAGTCATGTAGTATATAGATGTTTCCCCTGCACTCCTTACAGCGTTTGGACCTGAACAACTGTGGTGCTCACAGTGATAGTCATGAATGGCGCTGTGTTTATCAAATGTACCATACAGAAACCCACACATATATTGTATATCCAAAATTCCTTGGTTATTTTGGATATATACTGTATGTGTGTGTTTCTGTATGGTACATTTGTCACTATGTTGCCCTGATGAAGGGACCCTGCATGGCACCGAAACGTTGGCTATATCGTGTTTGTGACATTTCACTTCAATAAATAAGCACAAGGATTAATGCTACTACTGGAGTGCTAGTGATCTTCATCTTCTACAAGTTTGTAACAGATGTCAAACCACTTTGTGAGCCAGCACCTGTGGTTGGGACTGCAGGGGCATGTGATCTGCAGTGGAGCATTGGCTCATTCTGTTAGTCGTACATGTCCAGGTTCCCCACCTGGACATGTACGACTATAACCCAGAATTCCAGTCCAGAATCACATGTGACAGGAACACAAGGCTCTCCTGAATTAGATACATTTCTAAGGAGGTAAGCAGAATGAACTCTCTGACTTTAGCACAGCTGCAGGGTTTCCTGAAAGTATTATTAGTTCAGCTGAAAGATGAGACCTAGGTAGGAAAACCACAGTAGCTATAAAGTGACTGTGCAAATAACAAGCCAACGAAAAAACTTGTCATGAGCAATCCTTGTATCAGTCTGATAACACAGAAGAATTATAATGAAGAGATCAAGGTCTAGATATTAGTCATCACAGTTGGTTTCTGTTTTTAATATTAAAATCGAAGGGGGTTATTCACTATTGAGCCGAAGGATACAGCCGTAGGTTCGGCTGATCCTTCAGCTCTCATTGGTTGCGGGAGCCCTTCGGTTCAGTCAAACCGAAGAGCTGCTGTACGGGCTATTCACAATAGCCCGTATAGCAGCCAGGGCCGGTGCAAGGATTTTTGCCAACTCAGGCGAAGGTGCATTTTGCCGCCCCCCCTCCCCCCCCCCTGGCACACACACACACACCCACACACACACACACACTATACACTAATGCAGAATACCAGCAGTTACAGAGGACTACAAATCCCAGCAATAATACATTATATAAAATGTAATGCAGAATACCAGCAGTTACAGAGGACTACAAGTCCCAGCAATAATACATTATACAGGCTGCTTAATATATTATTGCAGGGATTTGGTGTTCATCTATAGCTGTGTTCTGCAGTGTGCTGCTTCTTTTTTTTTTTTTTAAACAGGAAACTTTAAAACAGGTCCCCCTTACCTGTTTCTGAACCCCTGGAAGTCGCGGCGGCAGCTCTGCGGGCGTGTGTCCGGCCTGTGTGGTGAGCGCGGCGTATGCAGCGTAACTCGTGTATGGAGCTGCGAACAGGCGGGCGTGAGGCGAGCGGGAAATTTAAATTTTTGCCGACAAATCGACCATGAAAAACATTGACAACGTTTTCCATTGTCGATTTTAATCGACTAATTGTTGCAGCTCTATATTATTGCTGGGATTTGTGGTCCTCTATAGCTGGTGGTATTCTCCATTGCGCTGTATAATGATTATACTGCGCAATGCAGATTACCACTAACCAGTTATAGAGGAACTACAAATCCCAGCAATAATACATTATACAGCGCAATGGAGAATACCAGCAGCTATAGAGGAACAACAAATCCCAGCAATAATATAAACAGCCTGTATGATGTATTATTGCTGGGATTTGTTGTTCCTCTATAGCTGCTGGTGTTCAGCATTGTGCCGCTGTATTATACAATACACAATACAATACACAATACAACATACAATGCACAATACAATACACAATAAAATATACAATACACAATACAATACACAATATAATATACAATATAGTATACAATGCACAATACAGTATTGTATTGTGCATTGTATAGTGTATTGTGTATTGTCAATACACAATACAATACAAAATAATACAATGCAGCATACCACGTGCACTTTGTTACATTACATACCGCTCTATATCACTGTCTTCACCACCGCTCCCACTTCAGCCAGCTCCCGATCCCGTTTCCCGATAAGAGTCCTGTCCGATGTGTCTGGTCTGGGGTGGGTCACCATGAGAGGGTGAACCGAAAACGCCTCCTCACTCGGTTCCAACTTCCAAATCTGTGCACCTGGCGGCTCCCGCGTCCCTCAACAGGTTGCCGTTGCCGTAGCCTCCAGGATGACGCCGCGGCCGCACTGCTTGCTGGTGCGTCGGTTGCTCCGCCTCCTGCAGCCCTCGCTCCTTCACATGCGGCTGAGCGGCCAGGGGTGGGGCCACTTACGTCACTCACTGACGTAGGACGTAGCCAAGAGGACGGCTCAGTGGCGCTCTTCCGGCTTCCCCATAACGCTGCCCTCGCTGGCCCGACAAGTAAGTTGAGACTGAGAGCCACTGCGCAGGTCAGCGCCGCTGCGGCCGGCGGGGACTCGTCCTTCAGGTTCCCGGCGACTGTCACTGTCAATTTTCCGCCCTGTTCCCTGGCGCTGTAAGGCAAGTGCCCATGTTGCCTTGCGCTAGCGCCGGCCCTGATAGCAGCCAAAGGTGGCCGAGCGGCTCAGCCGAGCTGAAGGCATATGCTTCGGCTCAACTGAGCCGAAGTGACAGCCGAAGCGTGGCGAACGGCCTGCCGAAGGCCAGCCATTCGCCCCGCAAATAACAGCTGGGTGGAGCCAACCGTGATATCACGTCTGGCTCCGCCCAGCTGTAGACAGATCAGCATTCCCAAATGACCTGGGGATGCTGATCTGTCATTAAACAATAACATCTGGGCAGAGCCGGCCTTGACATCATGGCCGTCTCTGCCCAGTTGTTATGCATTGGCCGGGACCTGCTAGAAGACTCTAGTAGGTGCCGGCCAATAGGAAACAGTTGGGCTGAGCTAGCTGTCCCTGCTAGCTCTGCCCAATTGCTTTTTGTTTTTTTACATTTCTTTACAATATCTTTTTTTTTTTTTTTAAGTTTACTATTTGTTTACATTTGTTACATTTCCTACTTGTTTTATTTTTATTTTTTCCCCTTTTACTTATTTTCTATTCTGCTTGGTACCACAGAGGTACCAAGCAGAATAGATGAGCCAAATGCTGATCGACGGCATTCAGCTATTCACTCACTGCCGTTCGGCCCCTAGCCGATCCAGATGTTGGATCTTAGTCGATCCAGATGTTGGCTCGGCTGAGTCGAAGTGCTTCATGTTCGGCTGACCGAAGGCAGCCGTACAGAGCCGATGTACGGCTGAAATCATTCCAAGTATTCCAGGTTCAAAAGGTGAATTAAGTACAGCTGGTCTTTGGTTTTTGATGGACATCAGTATATGCATCACCTATTGGCTTCTTGGGAACCAAGCAAATACAAAATATTTGCTGATAGCTACTCTGTAGCCTTTACAAAGCCAAACACAGGGTCCCTCTTCCTTTTGCTGCATACAAAGTAATGTTAAATTAGTGGAGAACCCTTCTTGTAATTACTGTGGATTTGGGCAGAACTACAAACTCAGGTGGAGAAAGGTCATTGTCTCCAGTGCCCAAAAGCAAGAAGCCTTTAAAGGAAAACTATGGGATGAGTGAAATATACTCAATCCCATAGTTATAGCCGATGTGTGATACTGCCGCGGTCACATGTCGACTCTACTGATCAAGAACAGAGTGATTCACAATCTTCTCCCTGCAGACAGCAGTGATGGCCAGTCACCGCTTCCCACAGGGATTCCCCCCTTCCCTCTCTGTTCCTTCAGGACTGACTGGTTCTAGAGAGACAGCGGCGTGGATCCCAACAATATTGTTGGAATTTTTCCAGACTGCAGCTCTGCTCTGACATCCATATAGCAGGCAATAGCCTGTTATATGCTGAGTGTTGGATCTCAAGTGGACATTAGTAAATGTCCTCCTCTGACCCTAATTAGAGCTTTGGCTAAAAAAGGTTTGGCCATAGTTCTCTTAAGTGAATTAGCACAATGCCTTTTACCTAGGACTTAATTATCAGCTATAGGAGAGCTTAGGCATCATGTTTTAAAAACCTCTACCTGCCTTTAATGGTGCTCTTATGTCATATGTATCCACTAGTGTTCTATCCAAAGCTAAGCCATTTCATTTTGGATGGCTCAGTAGTTCCTTTTGTGACTTACAAAAAAGTAGTAGTATTCTGTGGTATGTTAAGCAAAATCTGAGTGTATCCTTCTTCTGTCTGTAGTATTCTACCCTAGAGGCCAAAATGTGTCAGATTGAGAGCAAGTACCTTGTCCTCCTTCAAGAAATGAAGACTCCAGTGTGTTCTGATGAGCAAGGACCCGCTCGGGATATGGTAAACCAGCTGTTGGAGGATGCGCTAAAGGTGGAAACAGCTGAACACACTTTCATCAGACCGCATGCTATGAGGTACCTAGAACCTTTTATATGAAAAGCTGCAACTGATCTGAGAAGACCTGACCACTGTGTACTAAAGAGCTTGAATAAAGAACACTAATGCAGCCACCACATATTAGGACTGGTGATCTGCAAAAGTTACATTTTTGGTTTAAGTACTCTTTTTTTTTAACACATGCATAAAGTATTTTGGCTGTTGTACAGTTACACTGCTAGAAACTATGCTGACAAAACTGTAACAGGGAAATAAGTGCTATTTTTGTAACTGTCCTTTTCTAATCGTATCTGCAGCAAACACGACCTCTACGGATTCCAGATCCTCCCTGAGGATGAAGATGAGGAGGAAAGATTGGTGGCCAAAGTAAGGGCCCTGGATATAAGATCTTTGTCCCTGTCCGATAACCAAGAGATTTCAACAGTAGTGAAGTGGGAAAACTATTTTGCTAGCATGGTAAACCGAGAAATGGGCCGTTCACCAGAGCTGAAAAGCCTTGTCCGAAATGGGATCCCCCATCAACATCGTTCTAAAATGTGGAAATTGTTCGTAAATCAACACATTAAGAAATTAAAGGATGAGGTCGCTCCGGATTACTTTGACATCCTTCTCCGAAATGCTCTTGAGAAGCAAAATCCAGCCTCAAAACAGATAGAACTGGACCTTATGAGGACACTGCCAGACAACAAGCACTACACATCACCCACCTCTGAGGGCATCCAGAAGCTACGCAATGTCCTGCTAGCCTATTCCTGGAGGAATCCTGATATTGGTTACTGCCAAGGACTGAACCGGTGAGGGAGGTTAGAGAAAGTTGCTTGCGCTTTACGTATGCAAATAGCCAAGCTGCGGCGCTGCATAAGGCACTGGTAACAATGCATGCATTTCTCACTTACCACTCTGAGATGGGAAAGAGACAATAATTTTAGGGCAAAACACATATCCTACACTTCTAGTTTTAACTATATTACGGAGAGGAGAAATCAGAGAGATGATCAATACTTCATATACAGGAGAAATGTAATCACGCATTTACAGACAGTTGCTATGATCAGCAGAAATACAATACTACAAAAAAAGTCAAATCACTTAAAGTGGAACTAAATCCACAGCATGCCCTAGAGTATTTTCTAAGGATGCAACAATACAGATACCAGTATCGGTGCTGATGCCGAGTACTTGGGCGAGTACTTCCTGATTGGTCGGGAAGCTGGCCAATCAGGAAGCCGAGCGTCGGCGCAAAGTAGAGTCAAGCAAAAAGCATACCGTTGGCCTCGTGTGGCTTCACGTACCATAGCAATTAATAGGGAGAATCACACTTTAGTTAAGCGTTTCTTGGCACGGGGAGGCATATAGGTAAGATCGTGCATGTGTTTAACACCAATGAGGGGTACAGGTAAGGGAAGGCTAGGATTGGATCAGAGGGACGAGCAGGAAGGGTGGGGTAGAAAGAAGATGGGGAGAAGGGAGAGGAGGAGGAGGAGAAAGGGCCAACAGGGGAGAGCCAGCCGTCTTCCCTTTTTAACCATTGGGCTGCCACTGAAAATTAATCTTAGTGGGATTGCTGACTGCCACAATAAAGAGAACTATGGCCAAACCTTTTTTGGCTATAGTTCTCCTTTTTTTTTTCACAAGTACATTTTTATAGTGATTATACATATCATCATGGTTTCAAATAATAGTCAAGTAAAACAAGCTGTGAAATATACACAAATTAGGTTCAATATGTGAGGTGGGGATGGGGGGAAGTGGTTCCCGGGATCAAGTCGAGCCATACTTTGTAGAGATCGGTTTCGTGTGTAGCTAGCATGTCTCACTTGTTAAGCCCTAAGAGACAAAAGCATTACTTGCGTGACGTGGAAGCCCAAGCGTTGCTAGCTATAGTTCTCTTTTAGGTCACAGGAGGGCATTAGTAAATGTTCTCCTGTGACCCAAAACTCAGCATATAGTTGGCTACTGCCTGCTATATGCTGACAGCACAGAGCTGCGTTGCAGCCGGTAAGGTTCCTATGATATTGCTGGAATACAACCGTGCTACCATAACTGACAGCTGGCTCTGCCACTCTAGAGCAGAGTCAGCTCTGCCCACCCCCTCCCCGGTCTGTCTCTCCAGTCAGCACTGGAGTAATGGAGAGGGAAGGGGGGAATCCCTGCGAGGAGCAGCGACTGACAGTTACCGCTCTCTGCAGGAAGAAAATCAGGAACTGAGCGATCAACGGTATGTGATTGCTCAGTTCCCGAGCAATGGAGCTTATGTGTGACAGCTGCAGTGTCATGTACTGGCTTTACCTATTGGGATGAGTGCATTTTACTTTCTCCTTTTAATGTTATGATCACATTCTTTGATGCTTAAAAACCCAGACAAAGGTTAGGCCCTCCAGTATGCATCAGTTAACTGTTAACTAAAAACACACACAGTTGCACATTAATGCACATAATTCAGAAAGCAAGGGGCATTTTACATTGGGACTTACAAAGTCATAATGTGTTTGTGAAGGGGTTGAATGAGATGCAAACAGGCTTTGGTTGAGTTTGGCACTACTTATAACTTGTTAAAAACCTGCTAAAGTTGGAAGTAGAAGCTTGTTTAAAGTTACAATCAACGCTAGACTATTATTTGTGTGTAACATCCCAAACTTGAGGTGATGGGTGCTTTAACCCTGTCACTGCAAGCCCCTGCCTCCCACTGTTCACTTCAGGTGGCCAGGCCATTTTTACTATTTTTCCCTTTTTTTTTTTTTTGCTGTTTTTACAGGTTTTCATTCACAGTTTTGAAAATGAGAAAATACCCTACAAACCATATATTTTCTGAAATCGCAGGGCTTGTAGATTCTGGTTTTGATTTTGTTCTCCCCATGATAGTTAATGCTTATCAAAAATATATTTGATAAACAAAATAATGTATTTTCAATAAAAATACATTGCAATCATTTATTAAATACATTGCAATCATTATTAGGGCACACAAATACAACATGACTCCCGAAATTGTAGTAAATAAAGAAAACTAATGCATCCACCATATATTAGGACTAGTACGTTGCAAAATATTACATTTTTGTTTTTCCAAAATTCCAAATTTGTTACTAAATCTAAAAGATAAAACCGAATTGTGTAAATAAATAACAAATATTTGTAAATTTTAAAATGTGCATTTTTGCAAAATGGTAAGGAAGAACAGATACAATGTATCTTTGTGGAGGCTACTAAGAAAAACAAAAAAAGGATGTTTAAAAAATAAATTAACAAATAATAAAAAATAAAATAGATCAGGGCTTGATCTGCTACAACCCTGTTGTTGTTAGGGTCAGTGGTTTTTTTAGGTAGTATAAAAAATAGTTTTATATGTAGTATCACTGTCTCAAATGGAAAAAAAAAAAAAGCAAAATGCACACTATTGTTTCTGTGCCCTACTACAGGTACAAACCACGAATAATGTACATGTATGTGGTATCCCCATGCAGGTCAAGAGTATAAGTATTTATTTTGTGTTGTGTTTTGGTGGTGGGTCATGTAATAACAAGAAATACATAGCTAAATTTAAGTTTTTTTTACTATTATGGATCACTTTTAATTTTATATACAATAACAGGAGATATCACTTAAAGGAGAGTTATGGGGCGAGTGAAAAACACTTATCCCCATAATTTAAGCCGACCTGTGACACTGAAGCTGTCACAGGTCGGTTCAGTTGATCGGGAAGTCAGCGAACACACGCGGCCGATTGATGACTTTCCGATCCTCTCCCTGCACTGACAGTCACTGCTCGCCACACAGATTCCCTCCTTCCCCTCTCTGTTTCTCCAGTGCTGACTGGAGGAACGAATGGGGAAGGGGGCTGGCATAGAGAGGCAGAGTGAGCTGTCAATCAGCCAGCGGGGTGGATCTCGACAGTATTGTCAGGATCCATCCTAGCTGTGGAGCGGCCCTGTGGTCTCAGCATATTGCCCGCTATATGCTGAGTTTTGGGTCTTCAGAGGACACATTATATGCCCTCCCGTGTCCCTGAAGAGAACGATGGGCAAAAAAGGTTGCCCCATAATTCTCGTGTAAAGAGGAACTTTTTATATTTAAAATGACAACAAAGGTACATGTGAAAATGTTTGCAAGCTTGTGTTGCTGCCTTTTTTAAAATGTTTTTACTTTTATGAATTAGTGTTTGAACATAAAACCAGGTGTGAAGTGGTGAGTTGTGATGTGGCTGCTTTGGGTACCATTGCTGCTTCTTATTTGTATCATTTATTTAATGTTATATTAGTGTCCAGTCCATATCATTACTATCAGCAATGTAAATAGACCACTCTCTGCTTTAATGATTTGCAGGTTATTCAGAGGGGGTGCATTCCATATCCATTACAAGCTTAGGCACTTTTTAACAGTGACAGATTAAAGGAGAACTATGAGGTTAAGGCTTTCCCCATAGTTCTCCTTAGGGTAACGGGAGGACACAAACTAGCGTCCTCCCGTCACCCTACGCTCAGTATACCGCGAGCTGTAGCTTGCGGTATACTGAGACACCACTTTATACCGCGAGCTGATGCTCGCGGTATACTGAGACGCTGAAGCGGATCCCCCGACAATTATGTCTGGATCCGCCCAGCTGCGTGCCCGACAGCTGGCTCTGCCTATCTAGAAGCAGAGCCTGCTGTACCCGCCCCCTCCCCGTCCTTTCCGCCAGTCAGCACCGGCGTATCGGAGCGGGGGAATCCAGCCCCTCCCCTGTCACGTCAGAGAGCCGTGACAGGATCGAGAGGTGAGCGAACGCCGGTATGTGTTCGCTCACCTCCCGATCTACTAAGCCGACCTGTGACAGTCTCATTGTCACAGGTTGGCTAGAACTATGAGGTGAGTGGAAAGCACTCACCTCATAGTTCTCCTTTAACCTTAAAAGGGAAGGTGTAGTTGTTTTGCATATATTTTCTTTATCATGGTCAGAACAAAAAAATTTAAAAAACATATATTTTAGGCAGGTAAATATTTTAAATGTAAACAGAAGTTAACGTTGAACTTTTCCTGTTCAAAAATAAATATTAAGATACAGCATAAGTAACATAATTTACCTTTAATAAAGAGTATCCTATGTCCTGCTGGCTTCTGGACACTGTATAAGTCCTCCCTTCGGTGAAGCAAGATGTTCTGTGTTGTTCATCTGCCCCCACTCTCCCCTCATCCATTCACAGTACTTCTTGTATCCTGTAAAAGGAATACAAGACATTTTTGTTAATTGACGAGGGGAGAGGAAAGGGAAAAAAGAGAACAGGATCCTTCACTGACTCAATCGATGCCTCTCATCCCCGCAGCATTGGAAGATCACCGCTCTGTAATATCCAGCTTCACTGAAGGAAGCATTTTTACAATAACCAGCAGCCAGCAGGAAATGGGATACTCTTTATTAGAGGTAGGTTATTTGACTGGTGCTGTATACTTTTTTTTAATGAGTACAAGCAGTGACACATCCTCTCCGCCCCTTCTCCCTTCTGGAGAACCTTAGTCTGTGGTTTCAGCGGCAGACCTCAGGGGTGCATCAAAGTGTCTGTACAGCGTCATGCCTTTCCATGGTGCAGGCAGGACAGCCACCAGCACCATCCAAATTAATTATGCTAATCCAAGGAGGTTGGGGTCCATTTAGAAAATGACAGAAGTTTGACTCCATCCAGGCCTTCTCTGCCCCCTGCTCTCTACCATGGTGCCGCAGCTTCATCTCTTGGAATGCTGGTGGGACTTTAATGTGAGGATTCTGATGTGGAGGGGGAGCTCTGATGTGAAAGAGGTGGATATTAAAGGGGGGTTTCTCATGTGAAGAGGAGGGCTTGTGATGTGAAAGTGGGCTCCTATTGTGAGAAAGGGGACTCTGATGTAAAAAAAAAAGGGGGCTCCTAATGTAAAAGGGGACTTCAATGTAAAGTAGGAAACCCCATTTTGTATGGCGTCCCCCTTAAAATCCATTTTAGTCTGGGGTACCTTGAAACTTTCCATACTTTTTAGGGTGCTGTACTGTAAAAAGGTTAAGAAATGCTGCTATAATGCACTGTAATGGTGCTGCTAATTTCCTGCATTCATTCTAGCTGCTTGAGCTTCATGTGTCTGTGTTGTTTATATCACTAATGAACATTTATGAAATTTAGGTTTGCTTTAAAAAAAAAAGATTGGATGAAGGCTCTTAGAGATTGTCAGTCTGTCTATTTGCTTCTATGCTGTTCTTCCATTTTGGCCCATTTCTATTATTCCACTATCCTCAGCTTCATTACCTGATTGCTTAAAGAGAACCTATCACAATCGAGCTTATGTAAACAAATTGTAAATATGAATCCTCAAATGATTTTAATAGTGCAGACTTACTTATGAAAGGTTAATTGCCCCCTTATTTAGTTTTAAATACTTTTGACTTTAAACATTTCCTTCAGACCTGCCACTTGAATGGAATCCCAGGCGTGTTAGACAGTTTTTTTGTGTGCCTAGTACATCCGCATTACAGTATGTGCATTTTTTTTCCTAATGAAAATCACATTCACGGTTAGAATTTTGTTTGTCCAAATCAGAAATGAGGAATTCCTTATCACTGTTGTCAAAAACATCTCAATTAGATCGTCCTAAGCATTGGAATATCAAACAAACATTCTGAAAAAGAACATTTTCTAACTAAATTCTACTGGTGTATAGCTAGCTTTAGTGTCAGTTGAGAGGTCAGACAGTTGCTGCCCTGTAAGGTGCCTGATCTTATATCTATAACAAATGCTGCCTCCCAGCTCCATAGTGTACATTAGTGTAACAAATAAGAGTTTAGGAAAACCATTGCAGCCACCACTGACCTTTTTGGAAAATGGTAGTTTCCTGTTTGTTATACCCTTTGGTTTATATTTTTACACTTTGGTTTTGTTATTTACTGAGTCACTGTCCCAGAACTAGTTTGCAGATCAGTTTTTTTTTCTCCTGAATTGACTTGCTGCATAATCATTCTAGGTTTGTTACTGTGAAAGTATTAAAGCCAGAGGCAAGACCAGCAAGTAGCATTTTTTTTTTTCATTTTTTCAGAATGAGGTCAGCAGCGGCAGTCTATGTAATTTTCTTATGTCAGGTATTTCCCAAGAAGAATGGCAATATAAATCGCTCATAAGTAAGCCCTTCACATTTTACCTAAATCCAGTTGTGACTGTGTATCTTTAATTATTGTCAGTTTGATGGGCCTTGTGTATATAACATCATATGCTCTTTCTTTCTAGGTTGGCTGCCATAGCACTGCTTTATCTTGACCAGGAAGATGCTTTTTGGTGCCTAGTTACAATTGTAGAAGTGTTCATGCCACGGGATTACTACACCAAAACACTCCTGGGATCCCAGGTATATAGAATTTCAAAAACATGTTCATTCCTCGCCCCTGATCAGAGACTGTAATGTAGGTTGTCAACAACTAATTGCTTTAATCGATGATAATTGAAGATGAGAATCGCGGTCAACTATTCTCATAATCGATTAGTTGATTTTGCTTCTCTCCTCCCTGCTGGGAGCCGTGTTTCATGGGCTCTGTGCCCCTCTGATCCCCGCTACCCCCAGAGGGAATCGGAGGGAACACAGACCCCTGCAGCTGGTGGCCAATAGAGCTCTAAACCTCAGTCACCGCATTGCCGAGAACTTTCTCCTTCAGATCCCTCCTCTTCTGATTGATAGCAGGCAGTGGGCAAGTGCAATAGCCAGCCTGCTATATTGGCAATTGCACTTTGAAATAGCCAATAGCAGGCTGGCTATTGCACCCACCCACTGCCTGCTGTCAATCAGCAAAGGAGGCCCCGCAGAGGAACTTTCTCCTTCAGGTTCCTCCTCTGCTGATTGACAGCAGGCAGTGGGTGGATGCAATAGCCAGCCTGCTATTGCAATTTGAAATATCCAATAGCAGGCTGATTATTGCACCCACTCGCTGACTGCTGTGTTTGCATTCAGCTGCCTCCACAGACAGCTGTCATTCCCTGGCCAAAGCTATTCAAGTGTTCCAGTGCAAGTGCAGGCAATTGTGTGTGCAGCTTTATTCTGAAGTAAACTGTTATGTTTGTAACACTCCATTTGTGTATTTTATTTTAAATAAAAGATGTTTTTTTTTAAACTGATCGAAAAAATAATTGTCCAACGAATAGATTATGAGAATAATTGTTAGGTGGAGCCTTACTGAAATGTAATTTGCAGAAAGCACAAAAATTGACCAATGATAAATTCTGTTCTGAAATTTATACTAATGCTCCCACCAAACATGTTTTGCATTTCCATACAAGTGTATGGAACAGAAAACATGCTTGAAGCAGTCAAATGCACCTCTCAATAAATACTTAACAATCTCAGTAGCATGTCAAAACTGATGCTAAACTAACGCCATCAACACAAAGCCTGTCGAGACAGGCTCTAAAGGCTGAAAAGTCTCTAACTACGTCCTGAAAGGCAATATAAACCCAACAGGGGGTCTAATTCTGCACCCTATCAGAAACTTAAAGGAAAACAACTAGGACTAGCAACTTGTCTATTTGATGAAATATATGATGTTCCATGTCCCTCAATATATAAAGAGTGTATTGAGTCAAAGATTGCAGCACTGCTATGAAGGGAACTAAGTGAAGTGTCTTGAGCTGAGGCTGAGGTCCTTGTTCAGGTCTCCTTGCTCCTCCCACTCAAGACGGCATTTTGTTGGCCCTGCGGTTTTTCACAGGCAGTGAATATTCATGTGCATCCATTCATCTGTTTTATTTTCCTAACTTGAAGTTCAAATCTTTATTTAATGAGCCCGTTTTTATCTGCAGGTGGATCAAAGGGTTTTTAAGGATCTCATGAGTGAGAAGCTGCCCCGTCTCAGTGCTCATTTTGAACAGTACAATGTGGATTCCACTCTGATTACATTTAACTGGTTCCTGGTGGTGTTTGTGGATAGTGTGGTTAGTGACATCTTCTTCAGGATTTGGGACTCTTTCCTGTATGAAGGGTCAAAGGTAAGGAGAAACTTCATTACGTTCTCTTGGCACATAAAGTTGGGTTACTTTAGCAAGTAGAAACCGATACCTAATAAAAGTTAACGGGGAAGGGGTGGGGTTTGGGAGGGGCGTTATAAATTCTGTCACATACAGCAGTGCTAAACAGGGGCAGTGAAACATTCTGTGAGACAGATTTATTACATGGTCACAGCACAAGTTATACATTTCTTCCTTAGTTTTTCTAAAGCAGCACTGCAACAGAATAAAACCTGACCTCAACCACTCCTTAATTATGCATCCATTTAGAGTAGAAATCTATCTCATCTTTAGTACTAAATCTGTCTTAAAACTTTGCAAACTGTTACACTTGGCTACACAGAAATACAACGGCACAGGCCTATGAACCTATCACAGAAATAGTTATAAAACATATATATCTATAGATCTATAGATATATATTGTATATATGTATGTGTGTGTTTTCATTTGTCCCCACTGACCATGGATTTCCCCATATGTGGTGAAGTGTGACTGCATACAATATTTCATTGGATGATCGCTCCTCTATGGCAACCATAGTGCATTCTAATGGACTGTCTAATTAAGTTTATAGATAACTCACTCAATCTGGTGACATACTGAAAAACTGTAGGGACATGCAAGGTTTTCTGTCTCGCTCTACATAGAGGGAATATGTTTCAATGGAGTTGCGTTTCAATGCTGTTTTCATGTAACGTGTGTTTTAGATACATTTCCAGTCATGTGAAATCCTTTTTTTAAAACATTTGATTTCTTGCCCCTTTTTTAGGTGATTTTTCGCTTTGCCCTGGGGCTGTTTAAATACAAAGAGGAGGAGATTTTAAAAATCCAAGACTCTACATCCATATTTAAGTATCTGCGATATTTTAGCCGGACCATTCTTGATGCAAGGTATGTTGTCTGCTGCTAGAAACAAAGGAATCAAAGTAATTTGTTAGCGCAAGAGAGATAGACGTGCCTTCTGATTATCCCTCATTTTACATCCTTTAATGGATTCACCTGGTGGTTTGGATTCAATGGCAGTTAACATAGTGCATAAATCAATGTGAAGAAAACACAATGCACACATGACCGCAAACACCATAGTTACCTCAAAGCAATATTCAATAACCCAGATAGAAAAGTTGTACATGTACAAGCAATATAAATACAGATATAATGTGCAGAATTCCTTATTTTATATAAGGAATTCTACCCTTTACATTTTTTAAGTGGCAGCACAAGTGTATCAAAACCACTATAGCTATATCATGGTATTCTTTTTTTTTTTCTTTTTTCAATAAAGTTTTAATTACATTTGATCCATACGAGAAACAGGACAAATTTCAGAAACACGGCTTATACCAATACAGCATAGTTCAGTCATACCGTGGTATAACTTTTATAACTATCTGGGTACACCTGTTTTGTAAGCAGAATAACGCGGGTACAATGGAATTACTAAGTGTCCCAGCACAACACATGAAAACCAGTCCTTCAAACAGATGTACATTAATTCATGAAAAAGGTGGGAACACAAGGGCTGGGGGAGGGGGTAGAAACTCCTATACAATAAAGGAGGTCGCCTGTTGAGTTTAGACCTGTATTCAGTAAGTCTTCTCAGGTCTACAGCGAGTGATGTACAATATAACATGTTCTACTGTACAATAGGATCAAGGATTGTCTCCAGTAAAAACTTGTAGAAGGAAGAGGTTTTAAAATGTAGCCAGCTTGCCCATGTTTTGTAATATGTGCCATAGTCTGCCCCTGTAATACCTTCCAGAGATTGTATCCTATCTACTTGCAGTATACATTGCACTACTGATGGTCTGGAAGTTTTTTTTAGTATTTAGGGATCAGACAATATTCAGGTGGTGTGATATCGGTGATTTGTTGTTTTTTTTTGTATGCGTGAGCAGATATCTTTGTGTTGTAAAATAGGAGGACGCAAGGGTATCTTCCTAATAATACATTTGACTTGCCAATAAAATACTCCGATTGCACAGAACAAACTTTCACAGGACATATGTCCCTGCAAATTGTTTAAAAAAACACCCCTTAGTGTTGTAACGGCTTTGAAAGGCTCTTGATGAAGTTACCAAGTTAAATCCATGTCCAAACGTCAAGGGGTGTATGCCCCCATTTATTTCTTGTTTTTTGAAAGATCAAGTGCCCTGCCATCTTTGGCAACCTGATATAATTACAATGTGCCCTCTGCAAACCGGTGTTAGAACGCTTTCTCATCTTGACCCGGAGGGAATTGGGGATTGTCTAGTTGTGACACAAGGGGGAATTTTGCTGCCAATTATTATGTCATGTTCATACCAGTTCCCAAATTGTAAGTGTGGTTATAGTTCAGCGGGTAGCAGGGGCTGGGGAGGGCTTGTATTCTTGTGAGTGTGCTTTTATTTTTAAAGCAAAACAAACGACAAACGCACTCAACAATTTGTTACCAGTTATACAGTAAGGTGCACACGAAATGGGCTTTGAACAGTGGTACAGTAGAAAGGCATCATGGCACACTCACAAACCAGCATGTAAAACAACTTGTCTCACCACTAAGGACAATGACAGAGGTTTGGATACACGTCTTCTGCAAAGGATGTGTAAGCCGCACTGCCGCGCCAAGTCACCTTAGTGGTGAGACAAGTTGTTTTACATGCTGGTTTGTGAGTGTGCCATGATGCCTTTCTACTGTACTGCTTTTATTTTTAGTCCCAAGTCCAGCGCCTTACTAATTCTGAAATCCAGCTCTCCGTTGGGGGTCACCACAACTTGGCAAATGTTACCAAGGGGTCTCGGCCCTAGAAAGGTTGAGTACCACTGTTATAGTTGTAGGGGCAGGGGTGGTGGGCAGTGAATCTTGTGTCCAAAGCATTGTGCAAAGCTTCCTCAATATCCACCAATTGCTTTTGATATTTCTGAAATGTCCTGTTGTGTAATGAAACTTTGTAATTATTTCTAATAGCTGGGAACCTCAGACCTCTATTAGTTTTAGTTAGTACTCAGAATTGGAATGTGGGATTGTGTAACCACATAAAATCAATGAAATTGGAATTTAAGGATCTGAGTTAGCTCTTGGGTGGCGAAATCGGTAACATCTGAAACATGAACAAGATACGAGGTAGTATATTCTATTTGATAATTCCAATGTGGCCAGAGGTCAGGTCAGGAGGATTTTGGGTCATCTCTTCTGTGCAATTTGTTTACAATCTGTTTGTAAAGAAGTTAAAAGTTATGTCTAGAAAGATCCAAGGAGTGTGTTAGGTCGATGCCTAAGTTTGCTCTCACCAGGTAAAGGAAAATTGCATTTGTAAAAGGAACCTCAGAAGGGGAGAGCCTGACGTTCAAAAGTACTAATTTGGCTGAATTGATTTTACATTTTTAGAGGTGGCTGACTCTATGGAGGTTGTTTTAAGGGTATCAAGAGTTATCTCGGGGTTGCATACATATAGTAAGACATCATCTGTGAAAGCGGCTAGTTTATGCTCAGTTTGACCTATACATACTCCTGCAATGTCATTATTGTGGCACAGTGTGGCCAGGAAAGGGTTTCAGAGAGATAATGAAGAGCAGAGGGGAACAATGGGCAGCCCTTTCTGGTACTGTTAGAGGTCAATAGGAGGTGAAGTAATAACAATAATTCAAACTCTAGCTGTAGGTTGTTCATACAAGGCCATGATCCTGGATAGCATGTTAGGGCCCAGGAGCATGTGTTTCAAAGTTATGAGCATAAAGGACCAGTCTACGTGGCCTAATACCTTTTCAGCATCAGTAGTAGCTAGCAGTAGAGGTCATTTTTTTAGATGGGTGTAGTGTGTAACTAGAATTCATCAAAGAGCGTTATCTGGGGTTTCTCTCTTCCTTGCCCCCCTCCCACAGCCAACTTGGTCCAGATGGATTCAAGAGTTTAGGAACCCTTTGAAGTATGAGGCCAGGATCTTCGTGAAAGGAAGAGCTCCAGGAATGTAAAAAGTTAACCCTTGCAGTAGGGCTTCCCCCACACTGCAAAAGTTAACTGCTCATTTTTTGTTAGGGGCCCGAATACAGAAGGTACACTCACCTGATCCTTGCTCCTGTGGCAGTGAGTGCTCACCTCTTTTCCCCCTCTGCTCAGGCTATTGTATGTCCCTCCGCATCCTCACATCTAATGCAGGTAAATGAACTGATGACGTCAGTGGGGCTTAGACCGCTAGCAGCTAGACATGATCGGGGGTCAGGTGAGTGTTTGGGTTTTTTTGTTTTTGTTTTGAGCCCTTAGACCAAAACGAGCAGTTAACCCTTGCAGTGCATGGGTAGCCCCCCACTAAAGGGTAAACATTTTACATTCTTGGAGTTCCTCTTTAAGTTTTTATGTGGATGTTGATCACAGAACTAAATGTGTTACTTTGGCAGAAATTAATATATGCTGCTCTTATGACTTCATAGCATTCTGCAATTCTGGGAAATGTTATGCAACTTGTTATTTGTGTTCATCACAACTGGCCTTCTTGGCAGCGTTGCATTTTTCTGGCATTGTGAACATCGAATCAAGACGTTTGGGTTTTTTTCTGTCAGTTGTAGTGTACTAGTCCTGTAGAGAAATGTAATTACAGTGCTACCGTAAACTACAATCCATAAGACCATAAATATCTTGCATTATTACTTCTAAATGTCTCTTTTACATGGCAGGAAACTCGGCAACATTGCATTCGTCGACATGAATCCATTTCCCCTACGCCAGATTCGCAACCGCCGCACATACCATTTGGAGAAAGTGCGTCTAGAGCTGTCTGAGCTAGAGGCCATCCGTGCCGATTTCATAAGAGAGCGAGAGACCAACCCAGAGAGGAGAGACCTCATCAGTGACGATGATGAAGATGGTTAGGCTGAGGAAGATGCAACAGAAGATTTCATAAAAATGAACAACCTGTAGAAATAACGCTGGACGTATTTCAAAACTAAGGAACCTTTCCTTCAGGTTACCTGCTGTGGCCAAAATCATATAAACATATACTGAGAAGCCAACAATTGAACCCATTAAGGGTTCAATCAAAGAGATTGCTATATGTGTCAGAAGACTGTTACAAGAAGACTCCAGGAACTCTTGTTCAAACTGTTCAATGTTCATTATGTCCTCTGGAGGTTGATTTTGTTTGGGCAGTTAGAAAGGAAAAGATGCAAGCTTATTTATCATACCATTAACCAGTCATATCCCTGAGTATTACAGTCAGATCAGTAAAACGTTGCTAAGGATTGTGCCACTTTGCATAAGCAGTATTTCTGTAGTAGGCAAAGCAAGACCTTTCCTAAACATCTTGCTTTTTCGTGGGAAATCCTTTAAAATATGATTTAAAGCACTTGGTATGCTAGTCAGCACTTCTGCACTTCACTGTCATTCCAGGCCTTTTCTATTTCTTTTACTATTTTGTATCTGTTACAGATATAAGTATTTTTTTCTTCTATGTTATATTTTGCTAATTTTGATACTTTTATTGACATTTAGTGTATCATTGTATTACCTTGAATATGTAAACTACATTTAACTAAAGCAGTATTAGAAAAATGGTGGTCTACTTGTACCCAGGACAGTCAGCGGGTAACATGCTGGTTACATCTAGGACCAAAGTAAAATGACCACTATTCATTTGTTTTATTAAATAGTTAATTAGGTGTAATGGGGTGAAATGGAAAATATCATATACAATTCACCATGCAGTTAAATGCCCGTAGTCCTACTGGTTACTGTACGCAAAGGCAATATCTTGTGAAACTACCAGTATGACTGTCATAGCTGCCCTTGGGTAAATGGGTGACAACAGCCTAACCTGGCCCCTGAATAGTCATAGAGTATTGCTACCTGTGCACCATTAAAAGCCCCTTTGGACCACACTGCAATGTATTGGCACGCGTTGCTTCAGGACATCCCACTGTTGTCATCATTTAAATATCGCATCGGATCTTGCAGTATCGCCCATCTCTCACACCCATTTCTCCAGTAGTCACTAATGATCTTAGGAGGTATAGTAAAGGTAGACACAGGAAGGTGATTTATAGGAGCTCCCCTTCTTCCTAGCCCACCATCTGCTCTGAATTTGCTGTCAAAAAGTATGCGAGCCACAAGAAAACTTTATGGTACTTGCACTTTTTTTGACAAAATAACATGGTTGTTTGCATATCAGCATACTGCTGCATTCTTGTGGGGAGGGGGCAAATTGCAAAACAGCAATTTGGGACACTGGAATTTGTCACATCTGTCCTATATCTATATGCTGCAGTAATGTACATATGTTACATTCGCAAAGCAAAAATGTTTCAGCTTATACACCACAGAATCGCATATCTCTTAAAGGACTGTTCCACTTTTATTCAAAAGTGCCTGAAAGTTACAGTTGGGGGTTCTAGCTCATTCAGACCTGAACAGCTCTTCTAATTATGATGTGCTCTGCTGGTCCAGAGTGATAAAGACTTGAAAATAGAGGGATTCTAAGTGTAGCCCAGCATTTGTGTTCTTCTCATCCAAACGCCTCTCCTACTAACAGTCATTAACCTTTAGAAAGGGCTTCCACGCCTTCAGTTAAAGTGAAAAGAAAACACTTTGAGACTGCCTTGAATGTATAAGAATGAAATAACGTGATTTTGATTGATTAGAATTAGGGATGCACCGATACAGGTTTTTCGGTATCGAGTACAAATACCGAGTACCGATACTGGTACCTCCACTAGCATGAAGCCGGCTTCACCGTGCAATCAAGAAGCTGGGCGGCGGTAATGACACGCCATCCGGCTTCTTGATTGCTCATGAAGCTGGCTCCATGCTATTGTGTTTGGCCGGCACGATGCTGATTGTCCGGAAAGCTGGCTTCCCAGCCAGTCAGAATCGAACCGGCCAATCAGGAAGCCAGGCAGCGTGTAATTGCCGCCCGGCTTCCTGATAGGCTGGGAAGCGGGCTCCATGTTCCCTTCCGGTCAGTGGAAATCTCCTCTGACCGGAAGTTCCAGTATCAGGGGAAATAATTAGAATACATTAACTTTAAATGATATACCTGAAAATGATGGATGTGAATGATGGTTGGTGGAGTGACTGAAATACTTTTCACTGGACTTACAATTGCCTGAAATAAGAGCTGGCTGTGTTTCATGGCTTTTAAAATCAGTATAAGCAATGCAGATTTTATTCCAGTTGGTTGACATGGGTCAACACAGGCAGGCATGAAAGCACATGGAATAACAAACACATTGATGATTACAGTTGCACTCTACATCAGTTGTGGAAAATGACATACAACTAAATGGATTTATCCATGTGGAGGCACTAATAAATACATGTTCTTGGATATATAAGCTAAAAAGTCTTAAAGTGCATGGCAATTTATAGCCATTCATCTATGAATATTACAAGATCCAGTAAATAAGGAATACTTTCATATCCAAAGAGAAAGGGGAGAAGGTTTCCATATACCTGACTGATTAGACATTTCAAATGACATGTTTTGGGTGAGTGATTTCCGCTGACTTTGTGTCCAGGCCTTGCAGAGCAGGGAACATAGAAAAGCCTCAAGTATCTTCAGTTCCAACGTTGTTAATATCATTTGATTGAGAAAGGTGGGAAATATATGTAGTCTGTTGCTTGTAGGATATTGTGTAATGTGTGGGTATAACTTTTTTATTTTCCTCCCTAGACCAAAATAAACGGTTAACCCTTGCAGTGTGAGGGTAGCCCCACTGCAAGGGTTTAAAAAAATATATCCCTAGAGTTCTTTAAATATTGGCAGTGGTCTGGGATCCATCACCAGGACAATTAGTAGTCTATTTCACAGTGTTCAGTAATCTCTTTGAATTTGTCTCCCATAATGACAGCTAAAATGAACCATTATAAGTGACATGTTCTAAGTTGATCCTAGATGGTGTTTATATTGTTTTGAGCTTTTTACCTAAAAAGGCCAATTTTAATGTCTGACATAATTAAACAGAGTCTATCATTTTAAGATACCTTTGAAAAGCCTGACAGAATCTGCCATTCTCTAACTCATGTTACCTGTGACATCATTCGCAATGAAGCTGCATCACTGCCCTCGAAATGGAAGACAGAATAGGAGCCAGAGAATGGCAGCTTCCATCGGAGGTATGGAAGTATTTCACTTCATGCCAGGTTTCCTTTAACAAGGTGATAGAGCCATAAAGATAACTACTTCTGGTGCTGCCATGGCCTTGTAGTGTAAGTAAAGTCACATGATGCCTCTGATAATTTAGTAAAATTGGGATTCTTGTTACAAGCTTTGCATCATGTATTAGGGTGGAACTTTTATTTGAGAGGTTGGGTTTTGTTGTCTGAGGATCTCCTTTTGCTTTTGCAGTGTCTTTTTTAAATTCCATTGTGGGTTATTATACAGTGTTACACATTCCCCTTAATCAATTATGTAAAAAATATTTTTCATATTAAATATGCTGGATTTCCCTGTTATTGGGCATGCCTTTTTATTTATACATTTCATTTTATTGTTTAAAGGAGAAAAATTACCTATACACTTTAAATCTGGTTGTGTTTGCTGTGGATGTAAACTTTATGAAACAGTAGCTTTGAAGGCTTGTTCACACCATGTCCGGATCATGTCCAGACCAGAACAGTTTGGTCCCAAGCATCACAATGTAGCCCAATGGTATTTCTGGGCTCTGTTCACACCAGCGCAGTCTGTTCCGGTCCAGACAAAAAAATACTGCTTATCTCATTTTCTCTGGTCTTAAATGCATGGAAACGCATCAAAAACGCACGCAATTGCCCTGGACTGCACCTGAAAGCCCATTTTAAGCTTAAAAAAGCGTCAAAAATGCACTGCACTGCATTTGCCGATCTGGTCCAGACATGGTGTGAACAAGCCCTGAGTCTTTCATGGGATGTAAGAGAGGTACCACCAAAATATCAATATCATTGACCAAGACTAAACATTGCTATTTTGTTTTATTGAAGTCTGTATGTGCATTTTACGGAATGCACAGAAAGGAGAGCCGTGGCATTGTGAACAGAGCTTAAATGTCATTGCAGCAATAAAAATAAACAGGATATCTAAACCCAATAACCAAAAATTAGAGGTGCACCGAAATGGAAATTTTAAATCCAAAACAAAACCGAAATAAAAAAAATTGTCAGACCGATACCGAAAATGTTTTTTATTTGAATTTTTTCAAATTTATTAAATATTTTGAGTGTATTTATTTTTTATAAACTTTTTTATTAAATATTTTTTACTTTACTTTTTTAGACGCTTCGGGAACTATTAGGGGTCTAAACAGATCCCTGATATTTCCCTTTTTAAAATAGAAAAGAGATTGAGGACATAGAGTCCTCTATCTCTTTTTCTGTATCCCCTGTTATCAATGAACCGGAATCCTCTATACTGAGTGATCCTGTTCATTCATAACATGAGAACATTGTATGGTTACTATAACTACAACTATGAATGAACATGAGGTGATGTAGATCACTCCCATTCATTCATAATTGAGGATATATTAACCATACCATGTCCTCTATGTACAAACGCTCAGCGATCACTGAGTGTTTGTTTGTACCGCTCTCCTCTCTAACATGCTGTCACAGGAGGCTGAGTGAGCGGTGCAGGGAAGAGAGCTTAGCCTCCTGTGACAGCGCGGCCTGTCTCCGCCCACACAACGCTCTGCGGCCTGTCTCCGCCCACACAACGCTCTGCCGGACTGTTGTAGGAGGCTGAGCGGTGTGGGAGGAGAGACGCCAGCCTCTCACAGCGCTCACCTCCCGCAGTGCTCGGACGGCTGTCACACTTTCTCTCCTCCCCGCTGAGACACAGAGCAGCGCCCAGCGGGGAGGAAAGAAAGCAGGGGTGCGCCGCTGTATCGGCAGGAAAATGGCACTTTCTGCAGTTAGCCAAAAGTGCCATTTT